TGAAGATTCAGTGATAGTTCCAGTAGCACCCATATTTGTAGCAASTGCCAACTTTTCTTTAGCAATATGTATGCTCTGTGTGCATGTATCTTTGTGTGTTCATGATGCAGAATAACACTCAGAAATTTGTTGACTTTTCTCATTTTTTACTTTCCACAGTGTACAGGAAGCCATCCCCAAGCCAGGAATATGTACAGGGACAGTCATACAGACTGTTTACCACATATTTCTATTCAGTCTTTTTCTGATGATGTATTTTTCCTGACAGATCAGGGTCTCTGATGAATTGGTCCATAAATAATTTGATCACCTCTGTSTCTTAGTTATCCAAGATACTATATCCTGAGTCTGTTTTAACTGGCCTTTCCCTATCTTCAGACCACAGTGAAAATGCTCAGTGCTGTAGGCAGGCAGGTGCTACGTGGCAGGTGGGGGTCACAGACTCCACACCTGTGCACTGGAGGTTGTTATTGTGGCTCCCTCACAGAGTTGYAGGCGTTAGTTTTTACTTGTCAGCTCTTGGAACATTGCCTAAAACGGTGTGCATTCAGTAAACATGAGCTGCTGCTATCACTACTACTGTAATTATCATTGCATAGTGTATTTTCCTGCAGCAATGCTGAGCTAGTAGCACCTGAGTGGGCAGACCTGGAGATTGTGCCTCTCATCTGAGATTTCTATCCCTGAGCAGGGATGCTTGTGAATACCCTAGAATTAAGAGCACCTGGAGAGAGTACCTGATTTCTGGTCCGCTCCTGTCTCCTCACCTGCTTTCCTCCCCTCAGCACCCATCTCACAGAGGCTGCAGGTCTCACCCTTGTGAAGGAGTGTCACCCAGATCGTTTCCCTAGAACATCTCTCCTCGCCTGAATTACCCTGTATGATACTTTGAAATCCTCAGATGGGTGACCTCTACAGCAGCTTGCTTACCTTTCAGAATGGCAGATATAACTAGTTATGATGATGTCGATAAGAAAAAGGCAATGCCTACCTCAAAGGATTGTTTGGATCAAATGGAAGAGTTGTGTATAACGCTAGCCTGATGGCCACCCCACTGTATCGTTGGTCATCAKCGTCCTCACCCACATCTCTCCTTCCATTTCTTTATTGTGCACACTGTTCTGGCCTTTTCTCTCATCTAGGCCATCACCGTAGCTCTCTTACTGGTTTCCCTTGCCCTCGCCTTACCCCCCAGTATATCCTGTATCTTGTTCCAAACGCTTCCTAGATTACAAAGTTCATGAATGAATACTTTTTAAAAGTCGCTTTATCACATTATAATAGACTATGGATGGATTCTGAACTTTCTATTATAAAATATTTAAAGGTAATAGGGGAAAAAATTAAATACCTTTTAAATCAATGGACGAACTTGTAACAGTCAAAGAGAAATCTGGGGAGGCCAGATATGGATAAAACCCGAGTGCATATCCAGGGAGGGAAGCTACTCCTAGGGCTCTAATCTCCAAGGTGTTTCAGGATCCGGTGGCCAACCAGGGTTGGAAGTAAAACCACACAGCTCTCAGCACCGAAGGACAGAGAGTAAGTACACGAGGGAGCAGAGAAGACACACAGGGAAGGCAGTGAGGAGTCAGGGTGGAGCACGGGGACAGTTCTGGAGACAGTGGAGGAAGGGACACAGGTTTTCCAAAATGATACACAGGAAGCCCAGCACCCTTACTTAGTCATACCTTTAGACTTAGGGTAGACCTCCCTATAATACAGAAGAGGTGGTCAAACAATATCTGCATAAAAAATGTAATTGTCAACCTAGAATTTTTAAAATGTATATATAATAAACAAAAGTAGAAAAAAAATTACCACCAGAAGATCCTTACTAAAGGGACTTCTCAAGATCTACTTCAAGAGATAATTGAAAATGKTCTCTGAACAATAGTTGGAGGCTTGGAAAGAAGTGATGAAGAAAGATAAAACAGGGTAAATCTAAGCAGTAACTGTTAATAAAAAATAATGTCTATTTCAGTAGCAGTTTTTAAAAAAGCTAAATTATAGTGTTATATAAGGTTGGAGGCAGATGACCAGAATTAAAACATTCCAAGGCCCTTTTAGTTTGGGAAAGGAGAACAATTGATTATTTTTGGATTTAAAGTAGACATACTAATTGCTTTGAAGGTGTGATGTAGATATTAAGTGGTGTCTTTAAGTTCTGTATGCGCTCTCTCATAATTGCCACCTGGCTGTTCATCAAAATGTGTCTACCAGCTCCCACCACCTCTGCAGTCAAAGCCTCTCAGATAAGCTGGTGACCACACCATGATCTTTTCCTTCCTTCCATCTTGTTCATTATGTGATTACAATTCCTTAGCCCAGTCTTATGTGCTTAATAAACACAAGTGCTGTGAAGTCAGTGGCTACACATTCCTCAGTCATGGTTCTGAAGAAAGGTGCTCTTCCTTCATGTGCATCCAGCCCCTGTTCCACATGGTGGGCTTCATCCTGTACAGCAGCAGTAGCAGCCCTGWGTGTGTGGGGTGAAGTCCGAGCAGCTGGGCCTGCCACTGGAGAGCCCCCCCAGCCTGCTGTGGAGCTCAGTTGTCCCCTTTCCCTGAGTTCCACTGGTGTAAACCAGWGGTAATAATAGTAGGCCACCCTCACTAGTATGGTAGGAGTTAAATGGATGAACATAAGTCAAAGCTCTTAGGGAACTGCCTCTATAGCACTCTAGTTGTGCATTGACGAGAATTTACTTCTAAGTTATCTTGTTGGGAGGGCTTTAGGTGGCTTCATTCAAGTCCTAAATGATTAAATTGTAATTGACCATGGACAAGATTAAATCTTCTGTGGGAGATGGGAGAATAGAGGATGAGGTAGAAGGTGACTCAGTGGACKCTAGTCATTCGGGGGTAATGTTTAAGATCACAGTTCAATTGGAGAGCTCTTTGGAATCTGCTTCTAAAAGGCTTTGTATACAATGAAAATAACTTACACCAGTATTTATTTTATTTTTTACTTCACAGGTAGCAAAACAGATTTGTAGATCTTTGAACTGCAGGAGTCTCGAGATCCCACTAAACTGACTTCAGGGCTTCAAGGAGAGCTTTTAAATGGCAGGACCTCTTTGCTCCTATAGAGAACAAAATGGTTTCTCTCCAGTATTTCTCCAGTGCTTTGCCTAAAGTTATACAAATTACCCAATTTATGAAAATGAATCACTGAAGTCCTGAGAACTGAGTGACTGGTCAGGACTCTCCCAGCCAGGGCTTGGAGGGCGAGAGAATGGGTTTAGGACAAGGTGAGGCCTAGAAGGGGATGGAAACCAGCTAGCTGGTCTGTTTTCCAGGCTGCCACCTCCAGCTTATCATGCTGTCTCCTGTCCTGCAGAGTGACAGCCCCCATGGCACATGGTCACTTTTGTGTGCAAGGTTCTCATGCAGGTGGTGCCTGAATTTGTCCTCTGTTGAGCAATGTAGTATTTATTATAAGTTTGAGCTCTGCCTCTCTTTTAGCCTTTATTTATTTATTTATTTATTTATTTATTATTACAAAGGATATCATGGTGTGCCCCCCTCCACGCATACACTTTTTTTTTTTTAAGCCACTTAGTGGAAACAGAAGGGATGGTATTTTATATTTCCCCTGAAACCCTGTGGAGCGGATGTTTTGCGGCCTTTCTTGCCAGGTGGATGTCTCAGTGTGGCGCTGGCAGGATCACTTGGGTCCTGTAGAGGAATATTCACCTCTTTTCCAAGCCTAAGTCAAAAGAAATTTAAAGAGTATGCTTTTAGAGAGTGATACACTTCCTACCTTGTCCAAGTTAAAGGTGCCCTGAAGCCAGCCAAATGTTTGACAAAGGAATATTAATAAATAAATGGTCTTACCTATGTAGTTGGCTAATGCTTAGAAAAATGACATTCAGGTGGTAATGTTTTCCAGTGCCGATTTTAGTTTTATTAAAGGGTTAAGAATATGTAATAAGCTGTTTTGCTAATCTATGCTTTCTCTAGGACAATTTGTATGAGTTTAAGTGAATAGGATAGTTCTACATTGTACACCAGAAAAATAAACAAAAGGAATATAAAGACTTCTGTAAAAATTAACTAATCTGGAGACTCTTTATGATAGTGCCTAATGTCTGCCTTGCACTATGCTAGATTCTATAAATTCTAAAGATGAAGAATATAAGGGGAAATACTGGGGAGTGATATTGGCCAAATTATATTGTTATACTGTGTGTATGTGTGAATATGTAACAATAGACCCCAACCTTATGTGCAATATTATAATGCACCAATAAAAAAAAATTAGAAGGGACTGGGGCTGTGGCTCAGTGGTAGCACACTTGCCTGATATGTGTGAGGCACTGGGGTTCGGTTCTCAGCACCACATACAAATAATTAATAAAAAAAAGATATATCAACAACTAAAAAATATTTTAAAAAATGGAAAAAAAATGAAGGAAGCCTTTCAAGTTATTCCCAGTCCAATGAAAGATACTTAGACCAGAAAAGTGCTTTGCAGCAGAAATCTGCCCTAGTTGCCATAGGAGTGATAACAAAACTCAAATCTGATTGAGGGGGTATGGAAGAAATATGGGGGAGAGTGGCCCTCTCATAACCATGCCTTTTTCTCTTGGATTGATACCARTTGTCAATCTGTCTTTTTTGCTTTCTCAGTCTGAGTCACCTACACTGGAGGGCAGAGGGTTGAGACATGCTCCCTGGGTTCCTATTTTTAGTTTCTCCGATTCCCAGTTATGTGACCATAAGCAATTTACTTCTGTGTGTTGGCCTTTTTAAAAAAGAGGTTCCTAGAACCTACTTGCAGGATTAATTAAATATTTTGAGGATTAAATAAGACAACACTTGGGAAACATTTTAGAATACTGCCTGATATAMACTAAAGTTCAAGAAAATTTTAGTTCTCAACATTGTTTTGATAGCTCATTAACTGGGAACATGGAAACATAAGCACCAGGTTGATGTTTTATATTCTTCTGAAGTGTTGATTTCTCTCTAATAATTTTTTTTTTCTTTTTCTAGCTCCAAGAGGAAAGCGAGGATGGAAAACCTTTTATGCTGTCCTGAAGGGAACAGTTCTTTACTTACAAAAGGTAAAAGTACAATGGATATAAAATAAAATCTACAAAACTTTATAAAATGATATTTAAGCAAGGTACCCCCAAATTCTCACTTTGTACCAAAAAAGCCACATCAATCACCCAYAAGACTATTTAACAGATGCTTAAATTCTGGGCAAGTTATGTGTAAATCATCTTTAGATACGCATGAACAATGAGAGGAGTGGATGGGATTTGTTTTACTTCAGTAAGATCGGAACATAGGTTCGTAAGTTAGATCTCAAGTGATCTGTTCAGGAACAGACTTGCGGCAGCACCTGTCTGCATAGATATTTATACTCTAGATTAGTTACAGCCTTCATTTGTATATTGTTCTTTCATTATCTTGATTTTKACCCTACTAAAAGCTGATCGTACACATTTCCACTGGATTCCTGAAATAGTTGTACTTTAACAGTGCAGAGAGATTCCAAATTGCCTGGGTACATTTCCTGTGAGGATTCTTTCTTCTAGTCCCAAAGTCTGGATCTCCAGGATTCAGTTGATAGGTCCTGGCCCCTTCAGGGTTGTCCTTGGAGCTTCCATGTCCCTGGATCTGTGTGGGTGAAGATGGGAAAGTTGTGTGTTGGCTGGAAGGAGCACAGCTTCCCAAACTCCAGAAGGATTCTAGCATCCACTGAAGGGACAGCCACTGGATTAGGAATAAYAGGAAACAAGACAGTTGCAACATTCCCTTCAGTGGCGTCAATAGGAAAAGACATTTTTATTATGGTGAAAAAGAAAACACATAATATGAGAACTAATCTCTTGAGTTTTTAAATGTGCAACACAGTATTGTTAACCATGAGCCCAGTGCTGTACAGCAGACCTAGAAAACTTTCTCATCTTAGGTTTATACCCAGTTTCCTTCCCCTTCAATCCTTGGCAACCACCATTCTACTTTTTTTCTTCAAGTTTGGCTGTTTTAGCCTTCTTGGCCTTCTTGACTGGCTTATCTCATTCAGCACAATGTCTTCAAGGCTCATCCATGTTGTAGCAGGTGTCAGAATATTTTTCCTTTTTAATGCATAATATTACTTGATGTGTATATGCCACATTTTTCTGATGCATTCATTCATCAGTGTACATTTGAGTTATTCCCACCTTTTTGGTTCTTATGAATAATGCTGAATGAACATGGAGTACAAATATCTCTTCAAAATACTAAATTTATCTATTTTGGGTAAATATCCAAATTGTTGAATGGTGTGTTCCTTTTCTCATACTATTTTACAAAGTCCCTGTACCAGCTACATCCAGAACACACAGGTTCCATTTTCCCCACATCCTCACCAACACTTGTYATTTTTTGTTGTAAGAGCCATCCTAACAAGAATAAGGTGATATCTAGTTACAATTTGGATTTGTTACTAGAAATGAAAAAACTCAAAAAAAAAAAAGTATTTTTCCCACTCTGTATTCTCAACACCCAATACAGAATCCTTCTGTGAGCCCAAATTCTCCAGCAGATACCAGCTAATTCAATTCAACTCTGACGCTGTCGACATTGAAATAGCTTCAGATCCCACAGATTGGGGATCAGCCCCCGAAGAGTGCCCCCTCATTCAAATACCATTTGCAAATAGTAGATTGTCACCTACACTTCCAGTCAACAGCTATAAATCAGGAGTGCCCATGTCCACCTCAAGGTAGTTGGTCAGAGTTGCCCACAGAACTCAGGACACCACTTTACTTATATTTACCCAYTTACTATAAAGGATATTACAAAGGATACAGATGAATAGCCAAATAGGAGAGATGCACAGGACAGGATATGGGAGGATGTGGAGGTTCTCAAGTGCATCACATCCTAGGAATTTCCACCTGCCCAGCTGTCCAGAAGCTCTTCTGAACCCAGCTCTTGTTCGTTTTTATGGAATATTCATTTTCTAAGCACAGTTGATTGAATCACTGGTCCTTGGAGATCAATTCAACTTTTAGACCCTCCCAGTCAGCCTTCTCTAGTGAGGTTATGGGGTGAGGCTATTATAAGTCCTGATTTGATCTTTGAGCCACCAGTCTGTATTCTAGGGGTCTCTAGGGGTCACCAGCCATATTATCAAGCTAGAGATTCCAATAGTTTTAGGAGCTTTTGCCAGAAATCAAGTATAATGACCAAATAATATAAATCATACTATCACATTTGCATCTTCCTAATAATTAGTAATATCTTTTCAATACCTATTGGTTGTTGGTATGTCTTTAGAGGTATGTCTGTTTAAGTCCTTTCCTTTTTCAAGCTGTCTTTTTTGGTGTATATGTTTTTGCTTTTTGTTGTTCTTCCTTTGTAATTAAATTGTAGGTGTTCCTTCTATATTTTGAATTTGAATATTGACCACTTATTTAAATGTATTACAAATAATTTAAATGTATTACAAATATTTTTCAGGTTATCATTTCAGAAAGTTATTTTTTTCCTTTGCCATGTTGAAGAGTTTTCATTTAATATAGCCCCACTTATCTGTGTTTGCTTTTGTTTTATTTTTGCCTATGTTTTTAGTAATCCAGAAATCATTACCAAGTTTAATCATTTAAATCATTACCAAGTTTTCCTCTGTTTCCTTCTAGAAATTTTATGGTTTCATGTCTTAAGTATTTACATCTTTAACCATTTTAGTTAATTTTTGTGTTTGTATAAGATAGAGAGGGCTCTGCWTTCGTTATTTTGCATGTGGATAAACAGGCTTCCCAACATCATTTTTTAAAGATGTTTTCCCCATTTTGTAGCGTTGGCCCCATATTAAAGGTTATTTGACCATTTACATGTGGGATTTTCCTGGCCTGTCTCCTCCAGTGGCCCATCTGTATGACAACACTGTACTGTTTTGATGTTGTAATTTTATAATGTTTTGAAATCAGTAATGAAATCAGTCTTCTAATATTACTCTTTCTCTAGATTGTTTTGACTATTCGGGGTCCTTTGTGATGCTATGTAGAATTTGGGATTGTTTCTTCTATTTCTATTAGAAAATGTTATTGGACTATAGATATAAATTGCATGGAATCTGTAGATTGCTTTGAATAGTGTGGAATTTTAATAATATTTAAGTCYTCTAATCCCCAAATATGGCACATCTTTCCATTTAACTTTTTCTTCTTTTATTCAGCAATGTTTTGAAGTTATCAGTGTGGAACTATTTTGTCTTCTTGGTCAAGTTTATTTCTAAATAAATTTCATACTTTCTGGCAGTATTATAAATTGGATTATTAATTTCCTTTTCTGACTTGTTTGTTGTTTGAAATGCAACTGGTTGTTATACATTGATTTTGTATCACAAAACTTTGCTGATTTATTAGTTCTGATAGTTTTTTGTATAATCTTTAGGCATATACATGATTGTGGCTAAGATCATGTCAAACTACTCCTACTTTGTTGCATGTTTTAATCATGAAAGGATATTGAATTTTTCAAGGGCTTTCTCTGCATTTATTAAGATATTCATATGATTTTTAATCTTTTTTTTGGTTAAGGTGATGCATCACTTTGATTCATTTTTGTATGTTGAACTATCCTTTCATTCTAAGAATAAATCCCTCTTTGGATTTTATGTATGATCCTTTTAATATAAAGTTGAATTCAATTTGCTTATTTTGGTTAGGATTTTTGCATCTATGTTCATCAAGAATATTGGCCAGTAATTTTCTTCCTTCCTTTCTTTTTCCCCCGCCCCCCATTTTTGGTATCAAGGTCATTCTGGCCTCAAAATCAGTTTGGAAGTGTTGCTTCTCTTCAGTTTCTGGAAGTGTTTCAGAAGGGCTGGCGTGAACTCTTTAGCTGTTTGGTAGAATTCAGTGGTGAAGCCATCTGGTCCTAGGCTTGACTTCCTTGGGAGATTTTCATTACTGATTCAGCCTCCTTACCAGTTATAGATCTGTTCAGGTTTTGTATTTCTTTAATCTTGGTAGGTTGTGTTGTTTCCAGTAATTTAACCATTTCTTTACATTACCCAATTTGTGAGTGTATAATTGTTCATAGCAGTTTTCTCCTATCCTTTGGTTTCTGTGGCACCAGTTCTAGTGTCTCTTGCTTTTATTTCTGAATTTGAGTGCTAACTCCTTTTTTCTTAGTCCAGCTGAGGTTTGTCAGTTTCATGGAAGCAACAAATTTCTAGTTTTATTTTTTTCTATCAATAGTAATTATTCATGGAGAGTTCATACTCCTGACATTTTGTTTCTTGTTTCCTTTTTGTCTTTGGTTTTACTACACAATTTGAGTATTCCTATGTTTCACTGATTTTTTTTTCCTTTTGTAATGTTGCTTTTTGAGTCTTCTCATTTTCTTTTACCTTCCATAGATATTTCCTTTGTGGTTACTATGGGCTTACATAAAATAGATAATAGTTTTCATGTATTTTAAGAGAATACCAGGGTAATTTCATTTGTGTACTAAAACTACACTTTTATTCCACTACACACACATACATACTTTTGTTACTCAGTTGTCACAGATGACATCATTTTATATTGAGTTCCATTCATGCATTTTTATAAGTATTTTATGTTTTCATTTTTCTGATTTCTATRCCAAAATTAAGAGTGATTTGTATAACACTAGCATGGTATTAAAGTGTTATGTGCTTTTCTGTGTGTGTACCTTTACTGGTGAGCTTGATACTTTTGTGTTTCTGTTTAACATCCTTTTGTTTCAACTAGAAAAAAACTCACTTGTTGCAAGGCAGTTCTCCTGATAATGTATTCCTTCAAGTTTTGTTTATCTGGGAAAATCTGATTTCATTTTTGAAGGATGCCTTTTGCCAAATAYAGTATTCTTGTGGCAGTTTTTTTCTTTGAGCAGTCAAAATATATCACTAGGATTCCTTCTGGCCTTTCACTGGTTTTGCTAAGAGATCCACTGACAGTCTCATGGGTTTGTAAGAAATCACTTTTGTTTTCTGCTTTCTTTGACTTTTCATAATTTGATCATAAGAGTTCTTCCTTCCTTCCTTTCCCCCCCCCCGCCTCCCATTTCTTTGACTTTTCATTAAAAAAAAAAA